CCCACCCATTAGATGGGAGGGGCCAAGATGGGCAACCAAGCAGCCTAGTACCCTAATAACTCAATCATTTTCCTTTAAAAAAAAAAAAACTTGGGACCTTGATAAGAATGGAAAATCTAGATATTCTGATGGGGCACCTCTTCTCCCTCTATCACCCAATTCTCTTCGAACATAACCTCATAACCCTAGAAGATCCATAACCTTAGAAGATCCACCACAAATGCAAGGGCTTTATCTATCTCCTTACCATAAATTGTTTTGTTCGAGAAACCATAGGACATAAAATCATGGGATATATAAGAGAATGATAATACAGGTCCCTCCATGTCTAAATAGGGAAAGAAGAAATGAAAGGCACCCCATTTTACAAATCAAACTTTGAGTTGCAGGACATTAGAATTAAAGACAACTTGCAATGGTTTCTTATGAGATACGAATAAATAAATGGCGAAGAAAATTCAGAGATGAGCATAGATGAGCAGTGCGTAAGGAGTAGAGAAGGATAGAAAGGTGGAGCGATAGTTGTGTGTAGAAATGGAGAATTTGGACCTTGGAAAATATAGGGCCGAGAGATAAAGGAATAGTAATTTCTTCTCCATGCAGTTTATGAGCATCTGGTATAAATCCTTCTGAATGAGAGATGTAAATAAGTGCACCAAATGAATGAGTTGAGGCTGGCGACAGTCATTTTTCAAGACAAAACATGGGAGATAAATGGCTCCCGGAGCATAAAGAAGCAAGGAAAAATGTCGGTAATAATAAAGATAATGGAAAAATCCTTAAAGAGATAGAGAAAACAAGGTTGAGGAAGGTTCCCTGAGAAAAAAGAACATGAAGGAGAGATAAAGAGGGTGGGCTAGCGCATAAGTGGGCGAGCCAGACAAAGGACAAGGCAGGCACCTGGCTTGTTCAAACAAAGACGGAGAAGACTGACCTCACCCATCTAGAGACTAAGGAGAAAAAGAAAAAGGAACCTAAAATTATGAGCCAAAAATTGACAAGGTTTATTTTATAAGGAAAATATCCCCTTATCCCCTATTTTTAACTTATATATCTCATGAGACCCAAGAATTGAAAATATTACTTGTAAGCAAAAAGTCTCCATCTTTTCTATCTTACAACCCCCTAAACCCATTTGACCATGTATTATTGACCTCAACAATTTATGAAATGACTCCCTTCCCTCAAAACCTAACTTCTAACCTATGCCCTCTCTCTCTAAACTCAATCTCTCCCTCTCTCTAAACTTAGCACCACCATCCGCCACTCTTTGAACCGCGAGCACTTAGTCTCTCCCTCACTCTCTCTAAACTTAGCCACCACCATCCGCCACTCTCGAACCGCGAGCGTCACCCCGTCCCGCCACCACCACTCTATACACAAACCCCCGTTTTCCCTCTCCAAACCATACACAACCCCTTCATCCATAACCCTTAGCCCCCGCTTTCTCCCCCCTTCTCACTTTTCCAGCAACCCCCTCTACTTTTACGGCAAAAAAACGCTGCCAAGATGACGAGAGCAATGGCTCCAGCTAAATTTCCGGCCAAAATCAGCACCATTGGGCCTTGCCTTCGCTTTGGTGTCACCTTTTCTGGCTTATTTAAAGGGAACTCTGAAATTTCCAGCCAAAATCAGCACCAAATTTCCGACCAAAATCGCGACCTCTAAAACTTCACATGGCTTATTTACGGTTCCCGGAAAAAGTAGTTGGTCCTTGGTTTACCAAGTTTCCAAAGGCGGAATTCAGCCACTCAGGTCATTGTGGGTCAGATCCAGCCCAACAAAAATGGGGAGATTTCCTAAAGTTTCAGGGATTCTACCTGAAAATCTACTGTAGGAGAGATTTAAAGTCCCAAAAATTTGTCTTAGTTTGCCGATTTCTTTTGGGATTGAGCCATTAAATTGGTTATCCGATAGAGAGATAAATGGAGGATGTAGGTTAACGGGTTTAGAGAGAGAGAGAGAGAGAGAGGAGG